ACGAAGTCCCATTCGTCATCTTCAGGCTGGTGTTTTTGGCTTCATGCTTCTAGGAACAATGTGTGATCGTTGCTGTTTCTTCCTTTTAACTGCCAGTGGGGGTATGAACTGATTGGGTTTAACTGGCAGTTAAAAGGAAGAAACAACTACGATCACACATTGCTCCTCGAAGCACGAAGCTGAAAACACCAGCCTGAAGATGACGAATGAGACTTCATTGAAACGTCGCCAAGACACTTCCAATTTTACACGGGAGAAAACCCGAACAACCAAAGACCTACATACAAACATCCGCGAAAACCTCAGAAACACACACACACACACACACACACACACACACACACACACACTAGGTTGCTAACAAAGAATAAAGAGAGAACTGGGATAGCTATTTCAAGTTCCTTTAACTCTCTTCAGCCAGACTTACTCTTCTGAGATTCGAACCTGGGCTATATGCATGTTAGGCAGTTGTTATAACCTCTAGGCCACAGGCTCTTTCTCACTTTGTCAGCTGTATCAGGAGAGAGACAGGGGGAGGAGATTTTACCTTGAATGTGCACCCTGTCAGCCCAAATATGGGATATATATATCACCAAATAAATTAATCACGACCACCAGGAAAAACCAAACTAGAAAAACTTTAATAGATACCGAGCTTTCATCGGAAACTTCTGACATCGTCAGGGTTCTTACAGCTAGTTAATGGGAGCAACCTATATAAGATTACCCAGGGCTTGCATCCGGCTTCTAGACCGCGTCATTGGTCTAGTACTGTATATATATATATATATTTAGAGGGGCAGGGGAAAAACAGTACTGCAGGACCTGGACATATATAGGCAAAAAGTTATGAGTCGTCTCCAGTTTACAAGCCAAGGTTACAAGCGGTGATTGGCTGTGTAAATGCTCTAAGATGAATTGCAGAATTGGGAAGGAATGTTTGAAGTACACTGTCAGCCTCCTGGTTTGTAGAATAATAAACGTTCAAGGAGGGATTGAGAGAGGAGACACTGGGGAGTAAAATCTGGGATCAGGACAGGAAGCCAGCGGGAAGGAAAGGCAGAGAAAACGCAGCCCTTCTGCTCATGACATAGAACAGGGGTTCCCAATCCCCAGTCCGTGGACCAATACCAGGCCACGGCATGCCAGCAACCGGTCCACACGAACAAGCAAAGCCCCATCCGCGGGATGCAGGCAGCACACAAAACCACACACTCTCCGGTCCACGGAAAAACTTTTCTCCAAGGAACCGGTCCCTGGTGCCCAAAAGGCTGGGGGCCTCTGGCATAGAACATAGAATAACAGATTTTGGCTGTGATTTGCTCTCCGAGCTTGTTTCAATATGATTCCTGAACATTTCATTAGCAAACTAGGTAACATCATGAGCAGGATGTTCTTTTTTTTTTAAATAATTTTTTTATTTTTCCAAACTCTCCCCCATATATATACCGTGATATTTATCAGATGTTAACATACATTCTTTTTACATTCATATATTTTTAATAAAATGAAATAAATACATACACATGACTTTTGGTGTTGCTCGCCCATTTCCCCTTTCACTGTATCCACACTCCTTCTCTACCTTCTTTCTTCCTTTCTTCTCTTCCCTACTTCCCTCTTCTTCCTCTCCTCTTCTCTTTCCTTCATCACTCTCCTCCCCTTTCTCCCCACTTTTTTTCTTCTCCTCCAACCTTCCTACTTCCTTCTCCCCTCCTTTACTCTTTTCTCTCTCCTATGAGCAGGATGTTCTTCTTGTCCGATTCTGAGCGGCTGATTGCTTCTCTTGTTGAGAATTTCTGAACGTTTCATTACCAAACTAGGTAACATCAGCGGCAGGATAATCCTGCCGCTGATGTTCCCTAGTTTGGTAACGAAACATTCAGAAATTATACTGAATTATACTGAAACAAGAGAACAAACCACAGCCCAAATCAAAAACCCAAGCTAGAAATATTTTCCATTATTGCATAGAATATCAGAGCTGGAAGGGACCTTGGAGGTCATCTAATCCAACCCCCTGCTCGAGCAGGAGACCCTATAGAGGTAGTCCTCGGCTTACAATGGGCTCATTTAGTGACCGTTCGATGTTACAACAACATTGAAAAAAGTGACTGATGGCCATTTTTCACACTTATGACCATTGCAGCATCCCCAGGGTCACATGATCAAAATTCAGACACCGCCCCGGCAATTGACTCGTATTTATGACGGTTTGCAGTGTCCTGGGGACATGGGATCCCCTTTTGCAACTGCCTGCCAAGCAAAGTCAATGGGGAAGCCAGATTCACTTAACAACAATTTAACAACTTGCAGTGATTCATGGCCAGAAATGTCGTAAAATGGGGCAAAACACACTTAACAAATGTCTCTCTTAACAACATAAATTTTGGACTGAATTGTGGTTGTAAGACGAGGAGTCCCTGTACCATTTTAGACAAATGGCTGGCCAATCTCTTTTTAAAAGCTTCTGGTATTGGAGCACCCACAACTTCTGGAGGCAAATAGTTCCACTGGTTAATCCTTCTCATTGTCAGGAAATTTTCCCCTAGTTCCAGGTTGCTTCTCTCCTTGATTAGTTTCCACCCGTTGCTTCTTGTCCTGCCCTTTGGTGCTTTGGAGAATAGTGCAGGTGGACCCCCCTCTTCTCTGTGGGACCCTCTCAAATATTGGAAGGCTGCATATTTCGAAAGAGTCCTGCTTTTCCTAAATAAAGATGTGGGTGAGCAGAGCTGGGGCTGGCTGCCAGCCCTGTTTTCGGGAACCTGGCTGCTTCTGATAAATTGCAGATCCTGGTTTCCTTGGTGGTCTTCCCTGCTTCGTTCCCTACTTTGCTGTTATCCACCAAGAATGTCAGTTCTCTAAACATTCTCTTTATAAACAACCCAAGAGAAAGAGACCAAGAGAAGGGGGGACATGATAGCAGGGTTCCAGTATCTCAGGGGCTGCCCCAAAGAAGAGGGAGTCAAGCTCTTCTCCAAAGCGCCTGAAGGCAGGGCAAGAAGCAATGGATGGAAAATAACCAAGGAGAGAAGCAACCTAGAACTAAGGAGAAACTTCCTAAAGGTGAGAACAATTAATCAGGGGAACGATTTGCCTCCAGAAGTTGTGGATGCTCCATCGCTGGAGGTTTTCAAGAAGAGATTGGATACGCCATTGGTCCAAAATTATATAGGGCAGTGATGGCAAATCTTTTAGAGAGTGCCCCAAAATGTCTCCGCCTCCCTCCTGCCTCCGCCTCTGCCCCCCTGCTCTGTCCCAGCCCCTGCCCCGCCCACCCGCAGGGCCACCCACCGACTCCACAGCCCACCGCAGACTGCCCAGGCAGCCCAGCAGCGCTAGGGTGGCCATGCCCTCCGCCCACGCCCTGCAGCATCCTCTGCATGCGACTGGGCGTGAGGGCGGAGTCTTATCCCTGCTGCCCCGCAGCTATGTCCTCGGCTGTGCTGCTCTGCGCGGGCCACACCTGGAGGGCGACTCTCCTCCAGAGGGGCTGCTGGTGGGGAGGGGGCCATGGGGGGAGGCGGGGCTGGGCGACAGTGCACGTGCCCACAGAGAGGGCTCCGAGTGCCGCCTCTGGCAAGCGGGCCATAGGTTCGCCACCACTGGTATAGGGCTTCCTGCCTGAGCAGGGGGTTGGACTAGATGACCTCCGAGGTCCCTTCCAGCCCTGTGATTCTACTTTCTACATTCAAGAGGGGCGGAAAAAGGTGAAAAAAAGAGTTCTACTGTCCTCTTTCTTTTTTTCATTTGCTTCTCTTCCCTCAAGATGGAGCTTCGGTAGAAATGTGTCTCTCCTTTTCAAGAGGGTCTCCGGGAAGGGGTCAAAAAAAGCCAAAAGGGTGGTCACCCCCCAGACATTCGGAGAACACTCCTTTTTGCACGCATGCCCCCATTTCAAAGACACAAAGCTTCGGTTGCAGGGCTGCGATGCCCTGTTGACTTTTCTGACTTCTTCTCCGGATGCCCCTCCTTCCACCCTGCCTTCATAAGCCTCACTCCGAATTCAACCCCAACGGGTAACGCTCCCGCTCTGTCCTCTGAGCCTTTTATTCTTGCTCACCTGCGGCCCTCTGTTGCCGAAATCTCAACATTCCTGGCGTATCCAGGGGAAACTCACTCTCGATGCTACTTTTATTTATTTATTTTTTTTGCTGGCAGAGACAGCAACCTCTCCAGGCTTTTCGATAACGTGTGAATGCTACTGAGATATTTTTAATTCTCTGCTTTCTTCTTTTTCTTCTCTTCCTCCTCCTCCTTCTCCCTTCCATCCTTCTCCTTCTTTTCCTTCTCCCTTCTTTCCTTCTCTCTTCCTCTTTCTTGTCCTCCTCCTCCTCCTCCCTTCCATCTTCCACAACTCACCCTTCTCCCTTCCATCCTCCTCCTCCTCCTCCCTTCCATCCTAATTCTCCACCACTCCTTCTTCCTTCCTCCTTCTCCCTTCTATCCTTCTTCTCCACAATTCCTTCTCCTTCTTTCTTCCATTCTTCTTTTTCTTCTCCCTTCCATGCTTCTCCTCCATCTCTTCCTCCTTCTTATCCTCCTCCTTCTTCTTCTCCCTTCCATCCTTCTCCTTCTCTTTCTTCTCCTCCTCCTCCTCCTCCCTTCCATCTTCCACAACTCATCCTTCTCCCTTCCATCTTCCACCTCCTCCTTCCTTCCATCCTAATTCCCCACCACTCCTTCTCCCTTCCTCCTTCTCCCTTCTATCCTTCTTCTCCACAATTCCTTCTTCCTTCCATTCTTTTCCTTTTCCTTCTCCCTTCCATGCTTCTCCTCCTCTTTTCTCTTCCTCCTCCTTCTCCCTTCCATCCTTCTCCACCTTCTCCCTTCCTCCTTCTCCCTTCTATCCTTTTTCTCCACAATTCCTTCTCCTTCTTCCTTCCATTCTTCTCCTCCATCTCTTCCTCCTTCTTATCCTCCTCCTCCTTCTCCCTTCCATCCTTCTCCTCCTTCTCTCTTCCTCCTTCTTGTCCTCCTCCTCCTCCCTTCCATCCTTCTTTCCACCACTCCTCCTCCTTCCCCTTTCATCCTTCTCCACCCCTCCTTCCCCTCCTCCTGCTCCCTTCCATCCTTCTCCTTCTCCTTCCCTCTTTCGATTCGACGGACGACTTTACGCAACCGCATCCGGAAAGTTTTGCAATTTGCCTTTCCTGTAATCTGCAGCCTCGTCGTCAGCTTTAGGATCTGGACTGCGAGCCTCCGCCGTTTTGGGATTCCCACCCGGCAGCGGCGTTCAAAGGCCACCCCGCAAGGTAGTCCCCCCCCCCCGGGAGGGGGGAGGAGGAAAGACCGGGAAGGGCTCCCACGCAGCCGGGGACAAGGCAGGAGAAGCGGGCGGCGGCGGAGGCGGCGGCGGGTGGGGAAAATGCGCAGCTGTGCGCTGGAGGGTCCTCAAAAACGAAAGGAGGAAGCGGCGGGTTGGTTCAAACTTTGCTGATAAGTGGCGTTTGCTGTGAACGTCTTCTTGCTTCGTAAGCTGGTGGGGGGAGGGAGGGAGGGAGGGGGGGAGGGGGGGCTGGTTGCAAATCTCCGCTGATTGGATGGTCAGGCAGGATGGGGCCCGGGGAGCAGACAGCCCCCGAAGTTGGTGTCGTCCTCCTTTTCCTCCTCCTTTCCCTTCCTTCTCCTTTAATCTTTTTCTTCCTCCTCCTCCTCTTTCTTTATTCCTCCTTTATTCCTCCTCCTTCTATCCTCTCTTTCCATTCTTTAATCTTCTTCTTCCTCCTCCTTTATTCCTCCTCCTTCTATCCTCTCTTTCCCTTCCTTCTCCTTTAATCTTCTCCTCCTCCTTCTTTATTCCTCCTCTCCTCCTCCTCCTTCTATCCTCTCTTTCCCTTCTTCTCCTTTAATCTTCTTCCTCCCCCTTCTCCTTCTTTATTCCTCCTCTCCTCCTCCTCCTTCTATCCTCTCCCTTCCTTCTCCTTTAATCTTCTTCCTCCCCCTTCTCCTTCTTTATTCCTCCTCTCCTCCTCCTCCTTCTATCCTCTCTTTCCCTTCTTCTCCTTTAATCTTCTTCCTCCCCCTTCTCCTTCTTTATTCCTCCTCTCCTCCTCCTCCTTCTATCCTCTCTTTCCCTTCTTCTCCTTTAATCTTCTTCCTCCCCCTTCTCCTTCTTTATTCCTCCTCCTCTCCTCCTCCTTCTATCCTCTCTTTCCCTTCCTTTTTTATTCCTCCTCCTCTCCTCCTCCTTCTATCCTCTCTTTCCCTTCCTTTTTTATTCCTCCTCCTCCTCCTCCTCCTCCTCCTCCTCCTCCTCCTATCCTCTCTTTCCTTTCCTTCTCCTTTAATCTTCTTCCTCCTCCTCCTCCTTCTATCCTCTTTCCCTTCCTTCTTTAATCCTCCACCTCTTCCTCCTTTATTCCTCCTCCTCCTTCTATCCTCTCTTTCCCTTCCTTCTCCTTTAATCTTCTTCCTCCTCCTTTATTCCTTCTCTCCTCCTCTCTTTCCCTTCCTTCTTTAATCCTCCTCCTCCTATCCTCCTCTCTTTCCCTTCCTTTAATTCTCCTCCTCCTCCTTCTATCCTCCTCTTTCCCTTCCTTCTTTAATCTTCCCCCTCCTCCTCCTCCTCTCTTTCCCTTCCTTCTCCTTTAATCCTCTTCCTCCTCCTTTATTCCTTCTCTCCTCCTCTCTTTCCCTTCCTTCTTTAATCCTCCTCCTCCTATCCTCCTCTCTTTCCCTTCCTTTAATTCTCCTCCTCCTCCTTCTATCCTCCTCTTTCCCTTCCTTCTTTAATCTTCCTCCTCCTCCTCCTCCTCTCCTCCTGCAATGCCCCTCGTCCCCTAAGATCCAACCTGATGCGCACATGGTGACATGTCTTGGACCAGACGGCGACAACCCTCTGCAGGAGCAGCGGGTTGGACTACAAGACCTCCAAGGTCCCTTCCATCTTCTTTATTCTGTAATTAGGTAGCCCATTGTCCGGGGCTCACCGTCCCCCCCCCTGCGATCTTTTGGCCCCACTCCCCCTTACCCCCATTCCTCGGTTGCAAGGCAGGTTTGGGGGCCTGGAGAGCAAATGCGTGCAAATTTAACTGGTGGGTTTTCAAGGGGGGGGTGGCGGCGAAGGAGTTTGTCTCTGCGTGGTGGCAGCTTTAGGGGATGGTGTGCTTGTGGGTCCGTGTGCACGTGTGTTGTGTGTTTACATATGTATATTGGGGTGCCCAACCTTGGCAACTTTAAGATTTGTGGACTTCAACTCCCAGAATTCCTCAGCCAGCCATGACCTAGACCAGGGGTCTTTAAACACGGCCCTTTTATGACTTGTGGACTTCAACTCCCAGAATTCTGGGAGTTAAAGTCCACAAGTCATAAAAGGGCCAAGTTTGAAGACCCCTGACCTAGAATCATAGTTGAAAGCATCCTCAAGGATCATCTAACCCAACCTTCTGCAATGTGCTGATTTTTTCTGGGCTCAGAAATTAAGTGAGATAAACCTGGTTAATCCTGGGATGGGAGACCACCAGGAAATCCCAGAAACACTGATTAAACTGGGAAACAGAGGAAAAAACACCACATCATTAAAAACAACCACAAACCACTTCAGTGTTGCTGCATGGACTGCCCACTGACACCACTGAGCCCAACCTAAAGAAGATTTTGCTTTGATGTGGAGCGTAAACAGGGGACACCAGTTTTCAGGGAGGGCATCTAGACGGACGGAGGCAGCTTCAGGAAGAGACAATAAAATGAGATAAACGTTCATGCCCCAAATTCTTCTGAGATAGAAAATTTATTTTGGAGTTCCTGGTGCAGATGACTTTGTTTCAAGGCAGTCCCCGGTTAACTGGATGGAAAATTTGAAATTGATGTTAGCAACATAAGAAGAAGGCCGTTTGCACAAAATCGGGCGAGTTTTTCAAAGAAGCCATTCACTTTGGCAACAGTTCTTCCTCTCTTGTCTAAAATCAAAGTGTCAGGACTTCATCTTGATACACCATGCTTCCCTTGCTGCCAGCCTGCCATAGTCAAAGGGGAGAAGGACTGTGGGGTGGAATAAGGGTGTGTGTGTGTGTGTGTGTGTGTGTGTGTGTGTGTGTGCGTGTTAGCCTGAGAGGAATTGAAAGTACGCATCGTGCCATCCGGTGAGAGCCACCGGCTGTCCCAAGGTGACACTATGGAATGCAGAATAATAATAATAATAATAATAATAATAATAATAATAATAATAATAATAATAATAATCCCAAAACAACTGGAGCACCACTTGAACACCATTGGCATTGACAAATTTGTCATTAGTCAATTGCAAAAGGCGGCCTTACTAGGAACTGCTTCCATCCTGCGACGATATCTGTAATACCATCAAACATCCACATCTGCCTATCCCAGGTCCTGGGTAAGGACTCGATAGGTAGACAAAATGCCAAATCCAGTCTGAACATCTGGCTGACTGTGCGATGATCCATAATGATAATAATAATGTTGAAAGGAACCTTGGAGGTCATCTAGTCCAACCCCCTGCTCAGACAGGAATCCCTATACCAGTGATGGCGAACCTTTTAGAGACTGAGTGCCCAAACTGCAACCCAAAACCCACTTATGCATCGTGGTGTGCTGGGTGGGTGTGGCCCATTGGATGGGTGTTGCCAATTGGATGGGCGTGGCCAATTGGGTGGACGTGGCTGTGGTGGTAATGGCAGACTGAGTGGGACTAAAAAGTTAAATCAATCAATTCCAACTTTGCAAGATCTTTCTTTTTTTCCATGAGAAGTTGAACTTGACTGATTGAACCTTTTTTTTTTTTTGCACATGGCGGCGGAGGCCTAAAGCGAAAAGGTTTTATAAAACCCAGCTGAAGGCCTGGGACTGGGGCAACGGCACATGTGCCCACAGAGAAGGCTCCGAGTGCCGCCTCTGGCACCCGTGCCATAGGTTCGCCACCAGTGCCCTATACCATTTCGGACAAATGGCTGTCCAGTCTCTTCTTAAAAACTTCCAGTGTTGGAGCGTTCACCGCTTCCGGAGGCAGGTAGTTCCACTGGTTAATTGTTCTCACTTCAGGAAGTTTCTCCTTAGTTCTAGGTTGTTTGTTGAGTTTGTTAAATTTGTTAGAATTTAATTGGATACTCAAAGATAACCAGTGGGGAAGATGGGAACGAGGGAAAAATTAACCACACGCTTTGGGTGCAAAAATCACAGATCCGGCTTTGCTCCTTCTGTAACCACTTGGCTTTAGTAAAGTGTCTTTTCATCAGCAACGGATTCGAGAGTCTTTCTTTTCTAACTAACCAAGTTGGGACGGTTGACACGAAGCAAAACAGCTTTATCCACTCAAAAACAACAACGACAACGATGCCTCCTAGAATCGTGGGTGCTCCATCACTGGAGGTTTTAAAAAAAATAGACCGGACCACAATTTGACCAGGATAGTATAAAGCAGAGGTAGGCAACCTTGGCTCTTTTATGACTCATGGACTTCAACTCCCAGAATTCCTGAGCCAGCATGGCTCAGCTTGGAAACCTCTCCTTTTCCCCTCAGCGTGGCTAGCTCAGGAATTCTGGGAGTTGAAGTCCACGAGTCATAAAAGAGCCAAGGTTGCCTACCCCTGGTATAAAGGTTTCCTGCCTTGAACAGGGGGCTGGATTAGAAGACCTCCAAAGGTCCCTTCCAGCCGTATGATTTTATGTTTTGAATTGCTTGCTTGGCTGATGACCTTATTTTACTCTCCTCGTCCGAGACTTTAAAAAGCTTTAAGAAAAGAATAAGGAAATGAAACTTGGGGGGTTGGGGGTTGGAATGAATCGCCAGTTTTCATTCTGATTGTGTCACTTCTCTCTTTCAGCTGATAAACAGAAGGGAAAAAAAAAAGAGGTAAATGTCTGATTATAGGAAGGAAAGAAAACGGGACTCTCCTAAAACCCCTGGATTATCAGGGTGAGCCTTGCTGGGTCCCAAACGCAGACGGGAAGGGACTGCGATGCATAAACCGTCAATGACCAAGTCAGTAGCTTTGTCAAGGAGCTTCCCATGAACACAGAGAGTGAAAATAGCCCCACCCACATTGTTGGCATCCCTGGGGTCCCTGCCAAATTTTTGTCTCGGGCTGAAATTTGATCCTCAAAGAGTTTCTGCTGGACGCCACTCTCCACAGATTGATGCTCATCCGCTCATGCTGCTCCGTGGTGGAAGGACTCAGCCAGCGTTCCTGTTTCAAATCCTGATTTTTGGGGTCCTCCCTCTGATTTTTGGAAAAATCTGGAGCAGTTTGTGAAGCACCATGGTCTGGTGCCTGTGCTTTATGTCCGAGGACGAGAAAAACGCCATGGTGATTGATAAAGAAATCACCCGGCTGCTTCAAGAACAGAAGAAACGGGATCGGTGGGAATTAAAACTGCTCCTGTTGGGTGAGTACACAACTATACGGGCAGTCCTCGACTTACGACAGTTCCTTTAGCGACCGTTCAAAATTGCAGCGGCGCTGAAAAAAGGGACTGTGACTGTTTTTCGCACTTACGACCGTTGCAACATCCCCACAGTCACGTGATCCAAATTCAGGCGCTTGCCAATTGACTCGTATTTATGACGGTGGCAGTGTCCTGGGGTTAGTGATCCACCTTTGCGACCTTCGGACAAGCAAAGTCAATGGGGGAAGCTGGATTCACTTAATAACCGTGTTACTAATTAAAACAGCTGCAGTGATTCACTTAACAACTGTGGTTGTGAAATGGGGAAAAATTCACTTTACAACTGTCTCGCCTAGCGACGGAAAATTTAGGCTCAGTTGTGGTCGTAAGCTGAGGACTACCGGTATGTAGTATAATGGGCTAGATAGTCATAGGTATTCCTTAGCGCCCAGGCAGAATAATTTTACCTCCTTTTCCCTTAGTGTTATCTGGGAAATGCCTTAGTAAGGCCACACTTGGAATACTGCATCCAGTTTTGGTCATCACGATGTAAAAAAGATGTTGAGACTCTAGAAAGAGTACAGAGAAGAGCAACAAAGATGATTAGGGAACTGGAGGCTAAAGCATATAAGGAAAGGCTGCTGGAATTGGGTATGTCTAGTTTCATGAAGAGAAGGACGAAGGGGGACATGATAGCCGTCTTCCACTATCTCAGGGGCTGCCCCAAAGAAGAGGGAGTCAAGCTATTCTCCAAAGCGCCTGAGGGCAGGACAAGAAGCAACAGATGGAAACTAACCAAGGAAAGAAGCAACCTAGAACTAAGAAGAAACTTCCTGGCAGTTAGAACAACTAACCAGTGGAACCACCTGCCTCCTGAAGCAGTGAATGCTCCAACACTGGAAGTTTTTAAGAAGAGACTGGACAGCCGTTTGTCTGAAATGGTATAGGGTTTCCTGCCTGAGCAGGGGGTTGGACTAGAAGACCTCTAAGGTCCCTTCCAATTATTATTATTATTATTATTATCATCATCATCATCATCATCATCATTATCATTATTATCTATCAGCCTCTGCGGACAATGATTTCTTGCATCATTCATGAATTCTTTACAGCTAGTTCTTGACTTACAACCATAACTGAACTTGGCAATTATAGTCGGAAATCGTAACAGTTGTAAAGTCGCTCACCTTTACAATATTTGTTAAGCGAATCCATTCTTCACTATGGACCCAGGTTGTAAGTAGCGTTTGTGTGTGTGTGTGTGGGGTGGGTCTGTCGTAACTTTGAATGATTGTAAATTGAGGACTACTTATAGAATAGAAGGAAGAAGAATGATTTGGAGGTCTTTTCTGAATTCTTTCAGATCCCCTTTTTGGAGCAATTCTCCTCCAGCTATCCAAAATGTAAAACTTGAAGCAAAATACTAAATTTGGGCAAAGAAATGTTAGCATTAATTTTAGCAATCAAGCAAATAGACTTCCTGCAGCCACCGGATGGTCAAAAAGTCAAGATGGCGGCTGCAATGCCATGAGGGAAGTTCCGCTTATTTTTAATGCCAAACATTAAAGCTGACAAACTATTGTTTTTCCTCCCAAACTGTAAAAAAAGCACCAGTAAAAAAGCCCAAACTTCATCTGTCCCATTCTGATGAAGCACCTATTTGTTGCTTTAAGTTTAAAAGCCAACACACGGCTGCAAAACTGAATGTTTACGCAACTTGTCTGAGGCCTTTTTCAGGATTAATGCTTGTTATGAGTAATGTGCCAAAGTCCAACAAACTTTACTGCCGCAGTTTGCAAATATTATTATTAACCCCACCTCCATTTTTATGGATTCATGAAGATTAAAGCAGCTGAATAAAAGGTTTAGGAGCCCTTGGCTTGTTATCAGCTGCAACGAGGATGCTTTTGAAAAGGAGGCAAGGAACAAGCCAGGTTCTGATAGCTGAAGTGAGATGTTAGTTAGTTAGAGAATGGCACAGATTTCCACTTTAGGTTTGGAAGTGACACCGATTAAAACAATTAACCAGTGGAACAACCTGCCTCCAGAAGTTGTGAATGGAAATTTTAAAGAAGAGATTAGACAGCCATTTGTCTGAAATGGTATAGGGTTTCCTGCTTGAGCAGGCGGTTGGACTAGAAGACCTCCAAGGTCCCTTCCAACTATTCTATTCTATTCTATTCTATTCTATTCTATTCTATTCTATTCTATTCTATTCTATTCTATTCTATTCTATTCTATTCTATTCTACTTTACTCTACTCTACTCTACTTCTATTTATTCCATATTCTACTCTACTCTATTCTATCTATTCATTCCATATTCTATTCTATTTATTCCATATTCTACTCTACTCTGCTCTGCTCTACTCTACTCTTTTCTATTTCTATTTCATCCAATTCTTCTAATTCTGTTCTGTTCTGTTCTGTTCTGCTCTACTCTACTCTACTTCTATTCTATTTATTCCATATTCTATTCTATTCTATTCTATTCTATTCTATTCTATTCTATTCTATTCTATTCTATTCTATTCTATTCATTCCATATTCTATTCTATTTATTCCATATTCTACTCTGCTCTGCTCTATTCTACTCTACTCTACTCTTTTCTATTTCTATTTCATCCAATTCTTCTAATTCTGTTCTGTTCTGTTCTGTTCTACTCTACTCTACTCTATTCTATTCTTGGGGCTCAATTGAATGTTCATGATAACGGAATATAAATCCATCAGCCGTGGAAAGTGGACTTCTAAGCTGGATATCTACTGATCATGGAGAAGATGCAGTCTAGACCAGTGTTTCTCAACTTTATCAATGTGTGGACTTCAACACCCAGAATTCCCCAGCCCACATGGAAGGAACCTCATGGATCATGTAGCCCAACCCTTGGCAATGTGCAGGAAAACGGTTAGAATTAAAACACTGTAGCGTTGTAAAGGACGCCAAGGATTATTTAGCCTGGTGTTTCTTGACAGCAGCAACTTTAAGGTGAATGGACTTTAGCTTCCAGAATATCCCTATCCAGTAATGCTTGTTAAGAGGCGACACAATTGATGTCCACAAATACTGGATAGGGAATTCTGGGAATTGAAGTACACAAACCTTAATGTTGCGAAGGTTGAGAAATACTGGTATAGATGCTGGCAGGAGAATTCTGGGAGTTCAAGTTCCCAAACCTGGCTGGAGAATTCTGGGAGTTGGAGGCCACACACCTTAATTATGCTAAGGTTGAGAAACATGGTCTAGAGCAGGGGACTTCAAACTTGGCAACTTTAAGACTTGTGGACTTCAACTCCCAGAATTCCTCAGCTAGCCAGGACTGGCTGAGGAATTCTGGGAATTGAAGTCCACAAGTCTTAAAAGTTGCCAAGTTTGAAGTCCCCTGCTCTAGAGGCTGGCTGGGGAATTCTGGGGAATCCAGACACCTTGACGTTGCTAAAGTTAAAAAGCACTGGTTTAAATGCTGGGTGAAGAATTCTGGGAGCTGAAGTCCACAAATCTGGTTGAGCAATGCTTGGAGCTGAAGTCTACCCACCTTAAAATTGATAACGTTGAGTAATACTATTCTAGAGAAATATTTTCCTGTTCTTTTATTCTCTCCTTCTTTTAAACTGAAGCGACCAGGTTCCAAATTAGCAAATTTCTCCCTGTAAACCAGGAACTTTGCCACTGAAGCACTCATTCCTTCCTTCGCCAAAGACTGAATTTGGTCTCTTGTGTTGATCTGTGCTTTCATAAGTTCTCTCCTATCACCTCCAGCCCCGTGGTTATAAGAAGGTTGGCTGTAAGATAGGCAGCTCTATAAATGTTTTAAATAAATGAAATCAATCAATCATTGGCAATTAAGTGCCTTTGAGCATCTGGTACCATGAAAGGAAACCCTTGCAAAATTGCCAGACTTAATAACAGAATAATATTGGAAGACGGCTATCATGTCCTTCATTAGACTAGACCAGGGGTAGGCAACCTTGCCTCTTTTATGACTCCTGGACTTCAATTCCCAGAATTCCTGAGCCAGCATGGCTGGCTCAGGAATTCTGGGAGTTGAAGTCCAGGAGTCATAAAAAAGCCAAGATTGCCTACCCCTGGACTAGACATATCCAATTCCGGCCGTTCTGCATATGTTTCAGCCTCCAGTCCTCTAATCATCTTTGTTGCTCTGAATAACAAAATAACAGAGTTGGAAGGGACCTTGGAGGTCTTCTAGTCCAACCCCCTGCTTAGGCAGGAAACCCTACACCATTTCAGACAAATGGCTGTCCAGTCTCTTCTTAAAAACCTCCAGTGTTGGAGCATTCAGAACTTCTGGAGGCAGGTTGTTCCGCTGGTTAATTGCAACAGATGGAAACTAATCATAGAGAGAAGCAACCTAGAACTTTCCTGACAGTGAGAACAATTAACCAGGGGAACAACCTGCCTCCAGAAGCAGTAAATGCTCCAACACTGGAAGTTTTTAAGAAGAGACTGGACAGCCATTTGTCCGAAATGGTGTAGGGTTTCCTGCCTGAGCAGGGGGTTGGACTAGATGACCTCCAAAGTCCCTTCCAACTTTACTACTACTATTAGTGACCGTTCTCACTGTCAGGAAGTTTCTCCTTAGTTCTAAGTTGCTTCTCTCCTTGATTAGTTTCCATCGGTTGCTTCTTGTCCTGCCTTCAGGCGCTTTGGAGAATAGTTTGACTCCCTCTTCTTTGGGGCAGCCCCTGAGATATTGGAAGACTGCTATCATGTCACCCCTCGTCCTTCTCTTCACTAAACTAGACATACCTGATTCCAGCAACCGTTCCTTATATGCTTTAGCCTCCAGTCCCCTGATCATCTTTGTTGCTCTTCTCTGCACTCTTTCTAGAGTCTCAGCATCTTTTTTACATCGTGGTGACCAAAACTGGATGCAGTATTCCAAGTGTGGCCTTACCAAGGCATTGTAAAGCGATATTAACACGTGATCTTGATTCTATGAGACTGTGGTTCATTTTAGTGGTGGATGATGATGGTGGTCAGGATGCTGCTGCAGCATTTGGGCTTCCATACAAAGGGGGTTGGACTAGAAGACCTCCAAAGTCCCTTCCAGCACTGTTATTCTGTTACGTTGAACTATACTTGGAGGCCAGATATTCTACTGGAAAACCAAAAGCTTGCGTTGTTGATTTTGTGTCTTTTGTGCATTACCCATCAGGCACTGGGGAAGGTGGAAAAAGTACCTTTATCAAGCAGATGAGGATTATCCACGGAGTGGGATTCACGGAAGACGAACGGAAGGACTTTGCCAAAGTCGTCTATCAAAACATCTTCACCTCTATCCAGGCCATCATCAAAGCAATGGAGAGCCTTCAGATTCCTTATGCCCAGGAGGAGAATGCAGTGAGTATCCACGTACAGGGAGTCCTCAACTTACAACCATTACAATCTGGGGCACTTTGAAGTTACAACGATACTGGAAAAAATGACTTATGACCACACGGTCATCTGATCAGTTTTTAGGCCCTTGGCAACTAATATGTGTTGTTGTTGTTGTTGTTAATTGCAAAGTCGTGTCCGACCCATCGCGACCCCATGGACAACGTTCCTCCAGGTCTTCCTGTCCTCTACCATCTTCTGGAGTCCATTGAAGTTCACACCTACTGCTTCAGTGACTCCATCCAGCCATCTCATTCTCTGTCGTCCCCTTCTTCTCTTGCCCTCAATCTTTCCCAGCATTAGGCCCTTCTCCAGTGAGTCCTTCCTTCTCATTAGGTGGCCAAAGTACTTGAGTTTCAACTTTAGGATCTGGCCTTCTAAAGAGCAGTCAGGGTTGATATGTATTTATGTATTAAAAATGAAGGAATGGGGTTGATTTTTTTTTGAGGTTCCATTTTTCCCTGCATCCTTGAAATATTTTTAGTTTTATATTAATAGATCATTTGAGAGGGGGCTGGAATTATTTGTTTTTTCTACTTTATGTACATCTTATTTCTCACAGCGTCCTACAGGTAGTCCTTGCCTTATGACAATTGGGAGCAGACTTTCTGTTACTAAGCGGGGCGGTTGACGTAAATGAGTCATTCATGATTTTACGACATTTTATGCCATGATTGTTAAGCGAATCACTACCGTTGTTAAGTGAATCACGTGGCCATTAAGTGAATCTGACTCTGCCCAGTAACTGCTGGTGGGAAGCCAGCTGGGAAAGTCAACAATGGCAATCACATGACCCTGGGATGCCACAACTTTTGTGAATACACGCCGGTTGCCAAGCTCTTGAATTTTGATGCCGTGACCATGAGGATGCTACGACAGTCATAAATGTGAGGACTGGTAGTAAGTCACTTTTCCAGTGCTGTTGTAGCTTTGAAGGGTCACTAAACAAATAGTTGTAAGTCAAGGATTACCTGTAGTATTTACTCCTTACAAACAGGGAGATACTATTTTTTTTCCTATATTGGTTAATATAGGTAGTCCTTGACCAAAATTCAATCCCAAATTTCTATTGCTAAGCGAGACAGCTGCTAAGTGGGTTTTGCTCCACTTTACGACCTTCCTTGCCACCGTTGCTTTAGTGAATCGCTGCAGTTGTGAAGCTGGTTACTCAGTTGTTAAGTGAATCTGCTCTCCCCATTGATTTTGCTTGTCAGAAAGTCATCAGAAAAATAATGGCCACGACTCGCTTTTTTCAGTGCCGTTGTAAGTCCGAACGGTCACTAAATGAATGGTTGTAAGTTGAGGACTACTTGTAGTGACAAATAGACCACCGCTGTCCTGAAATCACTTCACACTTCCATGATCACTGTCCTTCAGTAGGTAGCTTTCAGTGAAATGGGTCTCTTCTGAATTATTCCTCTAGAACAGGGGTTTTCAAACTGGGTCCTTTTACGACTCGTGGACTTCAACTCCCAGAATTCCTGAGCCAGCCATGCTGAGGGGAAAGGGAGAGGTTTCCAAGCTGAGCCATTCTGGCTCAGGAATTCTGGGAGTTGAAGTCCACAAGTCATAAAAGAGCCAAGGTTCCCCAACCTTGCTATAGACCAGCGGTTCTCAACCTGTGGGTCGCGACCCCATTTGGGGTCGAACAACCATTTCACGGGGGTCGCCAAACAACGCGATCCGCCATTTTTTTCTGGGGCGGCGCATGGGGCGGCACCGCGCATGCGCGCTGCGCATGGGGTGCGCCGCGCATGCGCAGTGCAGATGGCAGCACATAGATGGCGCTGTGTATGCGCGTCGCGCATGGGACAGCGGCGCATGGGGCAGCGGCGCGCATGCGTGCCACGCAGGGGGCGCCGCCGCGCATGCGCGTCGCACAGGAGGCACTGCCGCACATGCGCGCCGTGCAGGGGGCGGCGCCACCTGCTTAATACCGGGGTCGCCGTATAAAAAGGTTGAGAACCACTGCTATAGACCAACTCTACATCTGGTGGAACTACTGGTTTGTACCTTTAGAGCAGGGGTCTTCAAACTGGGCTCTTTTATGACGTGTGGACTTCAACTCCCAGAATTCCTCAGCCAGGAATTCTGGGAGTTGAAGTCCACACATCATAAAAGGGCCCAGTTTGAAGACCCCTGCTCTAGAACAGAAGTGGGGAACTGGGCCCCTTTATGACTCGTGGACTTCAACTCCCAGAATTCCTGAGCCAGAATGGTTCAGCTTGGAAACCTCTCCCTTTCCCCTCAGCATGGCTGGCTGAGAAATTCTGGGAGTTGGAGTCCACAAGTCATAAAAGGGCTACAGTTCCCCACCTCTGTCTTGGAGGATAGGAAAGTTTCTTGATTGGCATATGGCTGGCTCGGGAATTCTGGGAGTTGGAGTCCACAGGTCATAAAGAGGCCACAGTTCCCCACCCCTGCTATAGAATTTTCTTACCCCAACGTTTTATGCTCCGCTCATTTCTGCCTCTAGCAAAAGGCCCGGCTGCTTCTGAACGTGGATGCCTATACAGTGGTCTCCATGGAGCCCCACCACGCCCGGATCATCGGCGGCCTTTGGGAGGATGCTGGCATCAAGTCCTGTTATAAGAGGCGAAGCAAATTCCACCTGCTCGATTCAACGTCCTAGTGGGTTCCTTTAATCTAGTATCTATCATCTATATCATCTATATTTTATATCTATCACCTATCATCTATATCAGTGTTTCCCAAACTTGACAATTTTAAGGCATGAGGACTTCAACTCCCAGAATTCCACAGCCAGCAACGCTGACTGTGGAATTCTGGGAGTTGAAGTCCACATGCCTTAAAATTGTCAAGTTTGGGAAACACTGATCTATATCATCTATCTATCTATCTATCTATCTATCTATCTATCTATCTATCTATCTATCTATCTATCTATCTATCTATCTATCTACCTACCTACCTACCTACCTACCTACCTACCTACCTACCTACCTACCTACCTACCTATCTATCTATCTATCTATCTATTATCTACCATCTATCTATCATCTATATTTTATCTCTATCATCATCTCTACCATCATCTATGTCTATCGTCTATATATCTATCATCTATATCTAATCAGAATCAGAATAGAGCTGGAAGGGACCTGGGAGGTCTTCTAGTCCAGCCCCCCCCCCTCCCGCTCAAGCAGGAGACCCTATAGTAGTTTAATGAAGAGAAGGACGAGGGGGGACATGATAGCAGTATTCCAATATCTCAGGGGCTGCCCCAAAGAAGAGGAAGTCAAGCTATTCTCCAAAATGCCTGAAGGCAGGACAAGAAGCAACGGGTGGAAAATAATCAAGGAGAGAAGCAACCTAGAACTAAGGAGAAGCTTCCTGACAGTTAGAACAATTAACCAGTGGAACAACCTGCCTCCAGAAGCGGTGAATGCTCCAACACTGGAAGTTTTTAAGAAGAGACTGGACAGCCATTTGTCTGAAATGGTATAGGGTTTCCTGTCTGAGCAGGGGGTTGGACTAGATGACCTCCAAGGTCCCCTCCCACTTTATTATTATTATTAACATAAATTTTGGACTCGGTTGTGAACATAAGTCGAGGACTGCCTGTAACCTTTTTGCATTTGTAGGCTGACCCTCGGCTGCAAGGCTCAACCCTCTCTCCTAGCTTATGTAACATCCACATCAGTGTCTTTCTCAGCCTTAGCACCTTTAAGTCCTTGACTTACCACTTTCGTTTAGCAACTGTTTGAAGTAACAGCAGCACTGACAAAAATGACTTGCAATCGAACTTCGCACCTTGCAATTGTCATAGCATTCCCACAATCTTGTGATCAGAGTTTGCGTGCTTGGCCACCCAGCATGTATTTATGATGGTTGCAGCGTCCTGGAGCGTCAATTGATCGCCCTTTTGTGACTTTCCCAGCTGGCTCCTGACAGATAAAGCTAATGGGAGAAGCTGGATTTGCTTAACGACTGCACGATTCACTTAACGACTGCAGTCCTTTGCTTAAGAACTGCGGCAAAAATGGTAAGGTAGGGCATGAGTCATTTAACAACCTTTTCCTTAGCAATGGAAATTCCTGGTTCCAGTTGGTCATAAGTCAAGGGCTACCTGTATTTTGCACTTTATATACCCAGCTAGACAACCTTTGTCTGTTGTGTCATCACTTCAGAGATATTTGCTTACCTAAACAGAGAAACAGAATGACCACAGGTGGGGAAAATAGCAGTGGTACTTTTGATTTCCTGCTGGCTTCCCCATTGACTTTTCCTGTGGGAATCTGGCAGGGAGCATTGGAAATTTTCCTTTCCCTTCCCTTCCCACCAGGCATTAAGCAGCTGCTGCTGGGTGGAGGGAAGGAGTGAAGGATTACTAGACTGGCTTGGAAACTGTCACAGAATGTGGAAAACAGAGATCATGTTACCACAGCAATAGCATAGCAGCCACAACAGCACAGCAGCGGCCAGTAGCACTGAAGCAGCCACAACTTCCCCAGATTTCAGGTTGGCTGGGGAATTCTGGGAGCTGGTCTACAAATGCAGGCTGGGGAATTCTGGGAGTTGAAGTCCACCTATCTTACAAAGTTGCCAAGTATGAAAGGCACTGTACCAGAGAGGTGTGTGCCTTAATTTTGAGTTACTCCATCCGTGCATTGCCCAGAGTGACAGGCGTCTCTCTGTTTTTCAGCTTCCTATCGAACCTGGACCGCATTGCTACTGAAGGGTACATGCCAAGCGCCCAGGATATCTTGAGAACGCGTGTGCCCACGACGGGCATTAATGAGTACTGCTTTTCAATGCAAAAGGTGACATTAAGGTAAACTGAAAAAGGATTCATCTCCAAGCACTTTTGTTTCACAAGGAAATAATCAGGGGTGGACAACTGCTGGATCAGGAATTCTGGGAGTTGAAGTCCACAGGTCGTCAAGGAGCCATAGTTCCCCATGCTGGCTCAGGAATTCTGGGAGTTGAAGTCCACAAGTCATGAAGGAGCCATAGTTCCCCCATGCTGGCTCAGGAATTCTGGGAGTTGAAGTCCACAGGTCGTCAGGGAGCCATAGTTGCCCAGCCCTGTCAGAATCGAGAGATTAAACATTCTGAAAGGGTTGGTGATAGTATGAGAGATTGTTGTTGTGTAAGAGCAACACATGAGCACAAACTACAGGAAAATACCCCCCTCTGGCGAGAAGGGAATGTATTGCAATGTCATCCCTGAGATCCTTGCACTTATGGGAGAATTTGGATTTGGTTAATGACTACATGATTCGTTTAACAACTGCAGTGATTTGCTTAACAACTATGGCGAAAAAGGGTCATAAGATTGGGTGTGACTCACTTAACAACAAACTTGCTTAGCAGTGGAAATTTTGGTCCCAATTGTGATCATAAGTTAATCAATTCAGAATAAAGCTGGAAGAGACCTTGGAGGTCTTCTAGTCCAGCCCCCTGCTCAAACAGGAGACCCTATACCACAAGTAGGCAACCTTGGCTCTTTTATGACTCGTGGACTTCAACTCCCAGAATTCCTGAGCCAGCCATGCTGAGGGAAAATGGAGAGGTTTCCAAGCTGAGCCATGCTGGCTCAGGAATTCTGGGAGTTGAAGTCCACGAGTCATAAAGCGGCCTAGGCATAGGCCAGAGGTAGGCAACCTGGGCTCTTTTATGACTCGTGGACTTCAACTCCCAGAATTCCTGAGCCAGCCATGCTGAGGGGAAAGGGAGAGGTTTCCAAGCTGAGCCATGCTGGCTCAGGAATTCTGGGAGTTGAAGTCCACGAGTCATAAAAAGAGCCAAGGTTGCCTACCCCTGCCCTATACTATTTCAGACAAGTGACCGTCCAGTCTTTTCTAAAGATTTTTTTTTTCATCTCTCCTTTTTTAGGATCGTTGATGTTGGCGGGCAGAAAACTGAACGCCGGAAGTGGATCCACTGTTTCGAAAATGTGATTGCCTTGATCTATTTGGCATCACTGAGCGAGTATGATCAGTCGCTGGAGGAGAATAATAGCGAAGTAAGGAGCAGTGTTGAGACAGGAATATTTGGGGATAGACTTGCAGGGGTAGGCAACCTTGGCTCTTTTATGACTTGTGGGCTTCAACTCCCAGAATTCCTGAGCCAGCCATGCTGAGGGGAAAGGGAGAGGTTTCCATGCTTAGCCATGCCGGCTCAGGAATTCTGGGAGTTGAAGTCCACAAGTCATAAAAGAGCCAAGGTTGCCTACCCCTGGGATAGAGGGACAATTAAAGGAGAGGATTGTGTCTGTCTGTATGTGTATGTGTATTCTCTCTCTCTCTCTCTCTCTCTCTCTCTCTCTCTCTCTCTCTCTCTCTCTCTCTCTATATATATATATATATATATATATATATATATATATATCTGTCTCTCTCCCTCTCTTTCCCTCCCTCCCTCCCTCCCTCCCTCCTTCTGTATATATATGTACTGTATATATTGTGAATTTATATGAGTGAGTTTTGTGGAGTGCTGGGAAAGAAGGGGAGGAAAAGGGAAGAGGAGGAGGACTGTGGGATCCTTGATGCTCTCTGAGCTTGATGGTTTTCTTACGTATGTTTCATTACCCATCATCATCAGTGCTAAAATGAAGTGATGTTTACTCTCTGTTGTATAGAAGTGACTTGCCTGCCAGTGGTAAGCCAGAGCAAAGCACTTGTATGTAAACTGTCTTCTAGCTCTCAGTTTATATACAAGTATACCACTCCCTTCTAGCACTGATGATGTTACCTAGTTGGGTAATGATGATGTTACCTAGTTGGGTAAAGTTCAGAGAGCACCAAGGACCCCACAGTCCTCCGCCTCTTCCTATTCTCTTTTCCTCCCCTTCTTCTCCACCGCTCCACAAAACTCATCAAGGTAGCACTGCTATTACCTAGTTTGGTTGTGAAATGTCTGCAAGAAAACGAACAGCCAAGCTCAGAGAGTTCCAAGGACCACACAATCGTTGTTGTTGTTGTTGTTATCGTCGTCGTCCTCCTCCTCCTCCTCCTCCTCCTCCTCCTCCTCCTCCTCCTCCTCCTCCTCCTCCTCCTCCTCCTCCTCCTCCTCCCGTTTCCCTCCCTTCTTCTCCTTCACTCTGCAAACCTCACTCCCTTGTAACATTGATAATGTTACCTAGTTGGGTCATGAAACATCTGCAAGAAAGCCATCAAGCCCAGAGAGCGCCAAGCACCCCACAGTTCACCCCTAAACTACAAATATTCTCTTCTGTCGAAATTTATGCATATTGTCTGGCCTTCTGATTCAGCTGAAATGTCTCTTGGTTGTCTCTCTGAGCAAACCAATGTCTGCAGCATCTTTGGAACAAATGTCTGCTCCTTGTTCTTGATGGCGCCAGTAGCTTTATGTATGTTTTCTTTCTTTGCTTCCCCATTTTTTTTTGTTCTTTCCTATCAGAACCGAATGAGGGAGAGTTTAGATCTCTTCAGGACAATTCTGGAGCTGCCGTGGTTCTGGAACACCTCGATTATTCTCTTCCTCAATAAAGTGGACATCCTGGAGGAGAAAATTCTCACCTCGGACCTGGATGCCTATTTCCCCACTTTCCCAGGTAACGTTTCCTGCTTTGGGCAGCGTTGAGGAGTGGTTAGAGAGGGGCTGTCTGCAAAGCGGCACGTTCTTAGAAAAGGATTGCCAAATTGGTGCAAACTGGGGCCTGCTTCCCTAATCTGAACCCTCACCTAAATTTTGGGAAAGGTGCGCTTTCATTACCTCAGTTACAGTTGGTCCTCAACTTACGATCGCAAATGGGACTGGTCATTAAGTGAATTGGGCCCAATTTTACAGCCTTTTTTGTAGCAGTTCAACAAATCACTGCAGTTTGCTAAGTGAATCATGCCGTTAAGCGAATTTGTTTCTTCCATTGACTTTGCTTGTCAGAAGCCGGATGGGAAGGGCGTAAGTGGTGACCACATAACTCCGGGACGCCACAACCATCATCAATCCGTGCTGGTTTGCCAAACGCCCAAATTTGGATCATGTGACTGCTGTGGTCACAGGCACCAGGACCGGTTGTAAGTCCCTTTTTAAAGTGCCATTGTAACTTCAAATAGTTGCTAAAGGTTGTAAAATGAGGATTATCCATATTAGAGACGCTGTTCGGTGGAAAACCGGTTTGAATCTCTGGAAACCGCCTATTAGTGCAGCTTTAAATTGTGCTTATTAAAGCTTCAAACTGCAGTAAGATTTTTGAGACAAAGAAGCGGGAATCAAGCTATTCTCCAAAGCGCCTGAAGGCAGGACAAGAAGCAACGGATGGAAACGCATCAAGGTGAGAAGCAACCTGGAACTAAGGAGAAACTTCCTGACAGTGAAACAATTAACTAGTGGAACAACCTGCCTCCAGAAGCGGTGAATGCTCCAACACTGGAAGCTTTAAAGAAGAGACTGGACAGCCATTTGTCCGAGATGGTATAGGGTTTCCTGCCTGAGCAGGGGGTTGGACTAGATGACCTCCAAGATCACTTCCAAATTTACTATTATTATTATTATTATTATCGATCATCGCACAGTCAGCCAGATGTTCAGACTGGATTTGGCATTTTGTCTACCTATCGAGTCCTTACCCAGGACTGGGATAGGCAGATGTGGATGTTTGATGGTATTACAGATATCGTCGCAGGATGGAAGCAGTTCCTAATAAGGCTGCCTTTTGCAATTGACTAATAGCGAATTTGTCAATGCCAATGGTGTTCAAGTGGTGCTCCAGTTGTTTTGGGATTGCACCCAAGGAGCCTATTACTATTGGTACTACCCTTGCTTGCTTTTGACACAGTCTTTCTATTTCTATTTGTAGGTCTTTGTATTTTGTTATCTTCTCCAGTTCTTTCTCTTCTATTCTGCTATCTCCAGGCACTGCCACGTCCACTATCCAGACTTTTTTGTCTTTCTTATCGACAATTGTTAAGTCTGGGGTGTTATGTTGCAGGTGCTTGTCTGTTTGAATTCTGAAGTCCCAGAGCAGGTTAATTTTATCATTTTCTATGACTTTCTCTATTTTATGATCCCACCAGTTTTTGCTTACAGGCAAATGATATTTTTTGCAGATCTTCCAATGCACCATTGTTGCTACTTTGTCATGCCGCTGCTTGTAATCAGTTTGTGCAATCTTCTTGCAACAGCTTACCAAGTGGTCCACTGTTTCTTCAGCTTCTTTGCATAGGCGGCACTTACTGTCTGTTGCTGTCTTCTCAATTTTGACTTTGTATGCATTTGTCCTTAAGGCTTGGTCTTGTGCAGCCAGAATTAGTCCCTCGGTCTCCTTCTTCAATTTTCCTGCTCTTAGCCATTGCCAGGTCTTGTTATTATCTGTTTTCCCAGCTATTTTTTTTAATGTATTGGCCATGTAGTGCTTTGTCTTCCCATGCCTCTATTCTGTTCTTCATTTGGTCTTTCTTGTAGGCCAGTTTGGTCTCTCCAGTAGTTAGTAAGCCTTCCTGATATACTATAAGCCTTCCTGATATACTAAAGCCTTCCTGATATACTACTACTACTATTATTATTATTATTATTATTATTATTATTATTATTATTATTATTATTATTATTATCTAAAACACAGGTGTCAAACCCGCCGTGTCACGTGACGTGTTGCGATGTATCGCAACTTTTTTTACATTGCCGGAGCTGGGGTGGGTGTGGTCTCTGCCTGATGCAACCGGCCCACGGGCCAGCAGTTTGACACCCCTGATCTAAAAGGTAAAATCCTTTTTCCCCCTCAAAAACATTACTAAAAATCCATTTAGTTTTCAGGAAAAAATTGCAAGCATGTATTGCCATAGCTTTCCCCCACAATGTCCAAATTCCCAGTCCAGACTACGTTTTGTGATTTCCTTGTGGTGCTCCATCCAGTGGCTAGCCAGGTCTACCTGTGCTTAGCTAATCTAGGGCAGGGCTTTTCAACCAGTGGTACGGGTACCACCTGTGCTACATTGGCACCTGGCAGGTGGTGGTACGCGACCATCCTAGAAAAGTGATAGCGGGGGAGGAGAATGAGCTGAACCAGTGGCAGCAACGCACAAGCCTGAGCGAGAGATGGCTGGAGCTGCAGGGCCGTCAGGGCTCAGCGGAAGCGCCAGGATCAGTGCCGTTTTCCAGCTGATCAGCGCTTTTTCGGGACTGTCAGGGCTCAGCAGAAGCACCAGGATCAGCGCCAGGCTCCAGCTGGAGCTCGGCGCTGATCCTGGCGCTTTTGCTGAGCCCAGAAGAAGCGCCGATCAGCTGGAATGTTGCAGCCTCTCCAGAGTCTTGTGATTTACATTCAGATGCTTGGCAATTGATTCATATTTATGACGGTCACAGTGTCCCAGGGTCATGTGAAGTGACCAAAACCTGCTCCAATCACCCAGCAGACTTGGGGGGGGGGGGACAAAAACCAACCCCCACCCCATCCCCGCTGCCAATCCTCAACAGAAATGCTCACAACAATGAAAACCTCGGACAGGAAGAAGAGCGCCTCCAGGTGGGCAGGCAGGTGTCTTGCTCAGCTGTGGCTTGGGGGACACTTTTTTCAGTGCCATTGTAACTTCAAACAGTTATTAAGCGAACTACCTGTACTTCATCACTTTTTTTTATTTTTTTTTTGGGTCATCAGGTTTTTGACACCTTGCTTGGCGACTGGTGGTACTCGGATGTTGCCGTATCCTAAAAGTGGTACAATGGGTGAAAAAAGGTTGAAAAGCCCTGCTCTAGGGCCACATAAGATGGATTAGGTGCTGCCCCCTGCTGGGTCATTTTCTTTTCAAATCTAAGATCACAAATCTAGCGAGAGGTAGTCCTTGACTTACAACAGCTCATTTAGTGACTGTTCAAAGTTACAACAGCACTGGAAAAAAAGGGACTTAGGACCATTTTTCACAGTTACAACTTTTACAGCACCATGGTGACGTGATCAGAATTCAGACGCTTGGCAACTGCCTCACATTTATGACTGTTGCAGAGTCCCAGGGGGGTCACGTGATCCCCGTTTGCGACCTTCCGACAAGCAAAGTCAATGGGGAAGCCAGATTCATTTAATGACCAGGTTGCTAACTTAATAACTGCAGTGATTCACTTAACAACTATGGCAAGTAATGTTATAAAAATGGGGCAAAACTCAACGTTTGTCTCACTTAACAACAGAAATCTGGGGCTCAATTGCATTTGTAAGTCGAGGGCTACCTGTAAAAGGAGGTAAATCCAGTTTTATTTCTTAGAATTTAAACTTAATAAATTTAGGTCAGGTTTGCTGTTTGATTAATAGGGTAGATCGCAAGCCTTCATGTCGCTGTCTAGTGGAATCTATGTAAGCATTTGCTAGGAGTTCAAGACAATTTGATGAAGCATAATTGGTGGATCAATCAGTCAGTCAAGTAGAATCAAAAAGGGATTGGCCTAACAACCATTTGTTTAGTGACTGTTCAAAATTACAATGGAATGGGAAAAAAGCGACTTATGACTGGTCCTCACGTTTATGACCATTGCGGTATTCCCCAGAGTCATGTGATCAATATTCAGGCACTTGGCAACCAACAGTTGCAGCATCCCGTGGTCATGTGATTGCCATTTGGGACCTTCCCAGGTGGCTCCCGACAAGCAAAATCCATGGAGGAAACCACATTCGCTTAACAACTGTGTGATTCAGTTAACAATTGGGGGTGATTCTCTTAACAACTGTGGCAAAAAGTCATAAAACCAGGTAGGACTTGCTGAACAGCCACCCTGCTTAGCAATGGAAATTTGATCTCAATTGCGTCATAAGTCCAGGACTACCTTTATGTGCTAGAATGAAAAAGGATCTAATCTTGCATTTTTAACCCAATACCCCACCCCCTAGTAGCACTGATGATGTTACCTAGTCTGGTTACAAAACATCTGTAATAAAACCACCGATTTCAGAAAACACCAAGGACCCCTCAGTTTTCCTCCTCTTCCTCCTCCTCCTCCTCCTTCTCCTCCTCCTCTCCACAAACCCCACTCTCTTCTAGCACTGATGATATTACCCAGTGGTGGGATTCAAATACCTAAACAAACAGTTCTCTTATTGGATGCAGGCCTGGGCCTCCGAGGCCTAGAACAGACTTCTGGAAGTGGCATCCACGCACTTCTGGCAGGCTGTTCTAGGCCTGGAAGTCCTCCGGGCCTCCAAGGCCTAGAACAGACTTCTGGAAGTGGCAGGCTGTTACCCAGTGGTGGGATTCAAATACCTAAACAACTGGTTTTCTTATTGGGTGCAGGCCTGGGCCTCCAAGGCCTAGAACAGACTTCCAGAAGTGGCATCCACACATTTCCAGCGGGCCGTTTTAGGCCTGGAAGGCCTTCTCCAGGCCTCCAAGGCCTAGAACAGACTTCTGGAAGTGGCATCCATGCACTTCTGGCAGGCTGTTCTAGGCCTGGAAGGCCTCCTCCAAACCTCCGAGGCCTAGACGGGACTTCCGAAAGCAGTGTGCATTAAGTTGGTTCTCCGAACTCAGCAAAATTTAGCTACCAGTTCTGCTGAACCGGTGCAAACTGGCTGAATCCCACCACTGATGTTACCTAGTTAGGGTAATGAAACATCTGCAAGAAAACTAC